TTAACCACGCATGTGATTGATTTTTCCATTTGGGGAAGAAGGCCAAACATGATATTCTAAATTCTAACACTACAGCTATGCAAATAAAATTCCACAACCGTTTGTCTCTTTAGCATTGACATTGACTTTCATTATGTCCACTAGATAGAGATAAGATAGTTCCTCATTATACTCTCAAGTGTTTGGGAAAAGAGCTTATAAGCTATTTTATAAGTTGTTTATCAACTCTTGTACAATAATTTAGCTGATGTTAGAGTTTTTTAACTGTTTAAAATAAACTTAAACTGTCCTCAATCCCTTTTAATTCAATACAGTGTGATATACTCGTCACTTCTAATTCGAGTACAAATTGAAATGAAATTCTCGAATCACGTTGGTTTCAATTCTAAGTTGTGTTTATTCTAATCACATAACTGAACTAGAATTTTCAAATTATGTCGACTCTAATCCAAATATTTGTAAGATTCGAAATAATTAATTTAATTTAAATTTCCGAGAAAATATGAATAGAAGTTGCAAACAATCTCATACTTTCGAGAAAGAAAAAAAGTAGAAGCACAAAAATGCTAATTCCAATACGTTGGAACATGTTTGGTCGGATCACACCATTTTTTATGGGTAAAATAAAATAAAATAAATGTTTCATTAAATTATTATATTATATATCATAAATACCTAAAAAAGAAGAAATAAATATTTGAACACGGAGTAGACACGTAGGTAAAGATAGAGTCATGTGATTAAAAATCATTTGATAAAACTTTTAAAGTCTTGGTCAACCCCAACAAGGACAATAGAGGGGAAAAAAAAAGAAAAAAGATAAAAAGTAATTACGACAAAATTAAATATATTTCATTTTCGTCCATATGAAAACGTGAAAGTGGGCGGTGGTGCATGTGGCTTATTTCTGGGTGGGACCTCCTACTCCAACCGTCCAACGGCCGGCTAAGCTAATCCTATCCCGACCTATCCTATATCTACTATCACTCTCTTATAGGATTGATTATTTTGTTATCCATCCCTTTCAATTGATTCGCGTATCCTTTGATATATTCAAATTGAGTGTCCGCCAAGAAACGTGTTCGAAACACGTAAGAAATTGAAGTTCTCGTGTTACATGCATGTACGCACAATGGGAATTTGAAAAATGGACAATAATAAAGACCTTTAGATTATTCAATTTTGTTGATCTGAACTATAGATGAGCTAACATAGGTTCAGGAGGTCATTGCCCCCCACTAGTTCTCAAAATCTCTATTATTTTATATAAAAAGTTAAAAAAATCGTGTATAATATAGTTTCGTTTTCGGTTTCGATTTCGGTTTGAATTAAAAAATATTGAGTTCTAACACCTAATGGCATGTCTAAGAACATACGAGTGGCGATTTTCAAAGTTAATAATTTAAAGTACTCAAAAGTTATGATCAAAGGGTTTGAATCCCAATAATAATGCTAACACGTTAGTGCAGATTAGTCAAGTTATTGACAAAAATAAAAAATAAAATAATAAAATAAAATGAATATAATCAAGAAAAATGGTTGCTTCTTTCGTTCACAACGCTTGTGTCGAACGGTTGTCGGACTTCTAACCTTGCGAAATGACGGTCTTCTCCCTGGCTAACGTCCTCCAAAAGACCGTTACAAACTATATAAAATCGTATTTTTTTTTCTTGTTGATTTATAAGAGTGTTTGTTATTAAAGTGTTTAATCTTTCCTTAATCAAACATTTTCCCACTAACCTCACCCAATGTTGACCTTTACTCGATACTCGAACGTCACCGAAAAAAAATTAATTTCTTTATTCCAAGTTACAATCGAAATAATGCTGCAAACTACTCTTAAAATAATGGCTCCGATGGATCATCAGTTCAATCAAAACTAAAAACAAACAAGCAAGATTTAAAAATAGAAATCGATGTCGATATAATAGCAGAAAACCGTAACTCGAACGAGGCATGGGAGGCAACCCATGTGGTGACTCAATCAAGATCCATATTTTGGCACCAAAATTATGGACAACCCACTAAGTCAATGACAATCATGTTCCAACAAAAAACATAGAATACTAATTAAAAAACAATAAAAAAATAAAATAAAAAATCAATCATATAATTCGGAATTGAATTGGTGAGCAAGAAATCGGGGATAACCTGGGGTGACCGATGCCTGTATTCTAGAGTAAGTGATGCAATTAATAATAATTCAAACATTAAAGCAGCTGCAATTTAAGACTTGTGACAAAGATCTCAACTTTCATGACTATAGACGAATTCGAATCACGCAAGCATCTTATTCATATTGGTTTAAAAATCAATACCTTAAACATTTTACGATGTTTCTTCCCCGAGTAACTGCTGAGCTAGAGATTTAAGCTGAACGAGCCAAACCAGTATGAAAATTGCCTAATTGAATAAACCTTAACGCCTGTTTCACGCGGGTTTATTATTTTCTTGTTTTATCGGCTTTTTTTTTTCCTGAAAATGGCCTTACTGAATAACCCGATTCATCTACGAGATAATAGTTTTTTAGCACTAGGACTAATGAAACCGATTGTTCGATAGTTATTTTGTAGCAGGCTCAAATAATAACCTCAGAAGCAACGTCGTTTGCTAATTCCTATAGTATGCGAACCAACGGTGAAGTTTTCCATAGCCTCTAATAACTACTCGATTCTTTTTCCTCGTTTCTATCCTGGTTTTCAGACAAGACATACTAGCCACTCATAAGCTCCAACGAGTTGGTTCTTAATATTATTTGACTAAAAAAGAATTATTGCAAAAGATACACGGTAATGGTGTCCTCCACTTCTATCGGAAAGGATGTGGGATGTGATAATTCTTAGCATTCAACGGGGCCAAGGGAAAAGGGTAATAGATACTTCACGCAAAAAAGAAAAAAAATATATTTAAAAAAAAAAAACTCGTCAAAGAATGATAATTAACAAGAGCTTACAGAACATATAATTAGCAAGGCTTTAGGCTTACAGAACATATAGTACATGAGAGCATATAACTCGGATTGCTCATTCATCCACGATGCTCCAAATCATCCTGAGAGATCATATAATTTTATAAAACCAGCAAATGGAGTAACGCCCGAGATTCAAAATTCAATTATGGATGGAAAACAACAATAGATATGCTTACCAGAATATTGTCAGAGCTAGAAAAACGACCAGATATCCGAGCTTGTATAATCGTACCTTCTTCTCCCATGGGAGCTGGTTAAATATCTCAGTTACATCTAACAAGTGCCGCCCTCGAGTATATCTGGTCATATAAGATCAATACTAATTAGCTGCTAAGTTTCCAACAAATTGGAAAATTATGAACCTAGTATTTAAATTCGCTGCAATTTATGCTCATCGCATTCCGGACTTTCTCACTTGCTAATATTTTTATATTAGTTTGAACTAGCAAATCCGTTAATTTCCTAACAAATCTCGAGTTTTAGAGAAGTACGACTTCACACACATCAAAATCTTCATGATTTGCTTTAAGAAAGAACTGAAGTTAAAACACCTTATTATATTAAGCCCGAACCGGCCCTTTTAGGCTATCCCTTTGCATAAATCTCTATGCCAAATTAAATCACTGATTAAGATTACCCATCAACAGTCGCACAAGGCTCGTGTTTTACGAAATATCACTTTAACATACACAAAAGAACAAAAACATGTGTTCATCCGATGATTTTTTAAAAGTAGATTAGAAGATAATGTAGGACAGACTATAGAAGCTTAACACCAGAGTATTTGATCAAGACTATGTGGAGAGACATTATACACACTGATCTCGTTTTTTCCAACTCGTCTTTAACTAGGACTTTTCAATCTAAAATGTATTTCTCGTCTTTCCACCAGTTGGGTTCCATTTTATTCTCAACGTTTGTGTATAAACAGACACTTTATCGTTCTCTCAAAAGTAAATTAGTAAGAAGTTTCTGAGAGTATCTCCTGTATTTTAGTGAAGAAGCTCGATATAACCAAAATGTTGTCATCTATGGACCACATAAAAATGACAACTTCTCGCATCATTTATGAATAGGTGTTCCAACTAAAAACAGCTGTCTGAAATTTGGATCTCTTCTGTAATGGTAAACACTGTAATCAGAAAGAGAAACTTACATTGTGAAATTGTAATATGCGTATGGAGCGCAGAGCAAGAACATAACCCAATGTCCGGTAAAAAGATGGAGGAAGCACAGAACTCCTTGAGCAACAAACTCAGGCAAAAGAGCCTTATTTATTCTAGATGCCGAATCGTAAGGGTTGATATAATCATATTCAAGATCCGCCAAGCACATTAGCTGCAACAGAACAATTTTCATCATCAGTTTTCCCATAACATAAAATGAATCTAAACCGAAACCGAAACCCGAAAACCTCGAAATCCAAAACCCCAAAACCCGAAAACCGATAGAGAAAGAAGAATAAATAAGATGCTTTTTCACTCTAAGCTTGCCATGTTAAATAGACTTGATCACATAATAACTGCAACGATAGTTCATTAGATTTATGGTTTACATTGTCATTCGTCCAACAAGCACCTTACACTAAAGCGTATGCACTCAAATACCAGCTCATCGTTCAGATCAAAACACTACGATTTATTCATTAATCCTTTTTATGCTAGGCAAGATTTCATTCAAGAGAAGAATAACGAAACTTCAAACAGCTCTCGTCTTATCGCATTAACGTATCATAATCGACAAATGATATGGCACCTTGTTTAAAAAATGCATCAAACACTAAAACTTCTAGGGCACAGCCAACACACATAAACGCCCAATTTACGCGCAAAGACGAGCTAAACTAATTTCACCAGGGAAATCCTTTTACATGTTTTTTTCAAAAAAAGAAAAAGAAAAAGACAAAGATGCATAGTTGCCAGTAATATTACTCTTCATTTCTCTTAATTTCTCTCAAAGAAACATTTTTACAAACGAATTGAGTGCATAAACAGTTATCTTCCATTGTCGCCTCTTTTCAAGAACAGTTAAATTGGTGATCAAACCCAAGTCCCACAGCCTACGTTGCTTCAAAATCCGAAAAAAAAATAATATAAATTACTTGCTAAGATCTATAAACTGAAACGAACTAGTTCGGCTGAAGTAGAATAGATGAAAATTAGCACACAGCTGATTAACAGTTCTAATTGATACTCTATGTATTGAAAGTTACCTGGTATAGAATTACGCCGATTACACCGATGACGAGAAAAAAGGAAATTAGCCATGCAAAGAGATCCCCCATTGCCGTCCCTTCCCCCTTCTCTCTCTCTCCCTCTCTCTCTCTCTACGTTTCAGTACGCCTCTTTCTGGCTTAATTCCACTTTGCACCCTATAGAATCTAGTCATTTGCTCTTTGCACCCTTGAAATATTTTAATAGCGTTTTGTAACTTCAAAATGCAATAAATCATACATAAATTTAATAAGCTAATCAAGGTGATTTAGGTGGTGTTTGAAAACGCTTTTTGAAAGTGACTATGAGTTTTTTTTTGCTCATAATCTGTTTTTAGGTGTTTGCAAAATTAACTTTTACTTTTGCTTATATTAAAATAATCTGCTTTAAGCTATTTTTCTAAAAGTACCCATAACCCTGTTTTTTCTATTTAAGTTAATTTTCCAGAATATTTGCAAACACTCCTAACTTTTAGAAATAAGCACTTAAAATTGACTTAACTTAGAATCACTAACTTCTGCTTTTATTATTTGCAAACACCACCTTAATATTGTCCTTCAAACCAAGTTTGAAACTAAAAGGTTCAAAAATAAAGTTGCATTTCGTTAACTCATTTTAAAAATGTATTTTTATCTCCAAAAATACTTTACTAAAGAATAAGGAAAAATAATCCTTCAATTATTTGTTATCATGTTATTTACAAGTTATATTTTATTGCAAAACTTTTCACCAGTTACAATAGAAGATCAATTAATCGAACAATCCGATGAGTAAAGTTAAAAAAAAAAAGAAATTGTGAAAAAAACATAGTTTTTATGTAACTCAGTTAATTTTTTTAGCTCGAAATTATGTTAGAGCGTAGAAGAAAATAATAATTAATTTGTTATTTTGCACCCTCGAAAAAATAAAATCATAAAAAAATAAATTTGCCATCACTTTGTTACAATTTAACATTTTCTTTATGATTTTCTTTTTTAAATATACAATCTCTTAAATAGTGATCTTTCGGGGCAGTTTACTAAGGCCCCGTTTGGTTGGAAATATAAAATTAAATAATCTAATGACCCAATTATTTTATTGTAGCTTGAAACGTCCAATAAAAAAAAACTCATTAGAAGGCAAGTTAAGTCAAGACAAGGCAAAATAAGCTATGATTATAAATTTTGGCGGGTCGACACGGCAATTTATTAAGGATAGCAAACATTAAATTAAGTCCAATTATTTAGTTAATCATCGCTTATCTTGGCAGCCAAACGGGGCCTAAGAGTATTGAACTATAGGAGGAGGTTTTGTTAATAAAAATTGTACAAGGGTCTTTTAACAATTCGAATAACTATGTGGTGCTAAATGCAATAAACCGAATAATACCAGCGACGAATTGAACTGAAATCGCGTCTATAATTAAATTGGGGTTTCTTCCAGAACCCGATTTACCAAAGTCGTGTTTTTGAGACAAATACTTGTGCAATTTCTTGATAGAAAAGACACACAATAGAGCTAAAAAGGGGAAAATTTCAAGTGAAATTCATTTAATCGCAGTTCCTGCAAATCTTCGCCCCCATCGAGCTCATTGATTTTTCGTTCCTTCTCGCAAGATCGCAATGACGAAACAGCAAGCGAATTGGTCTCCGTACGACAACAATGGAGGGTAAGCAAAAACCCTAATTTTCGATCTATGTGTAAACGGAAAGTTAGAGAAACCCTACATACATTTCGATGCTGATTCTACTCTCTTGTGTGTGTGTGTGTTTTTTTTCTCTCGTGCAGGACTTGTGTTGCAATCGCTGGATCCGATTACTGTGTCATCGCTTCCGACACTCGAATGTCGACTGGCTACAGTATTCTTACCCGCGACTACTCCAAAATTATTCAGCTGTAATTTTTTTTGTGTGTGTTATTATTAGTTTTACTGTTCAGTTTTTTTTTTTTTTTTTCTATTTTTTTGGTGTGTCGTTTTATATTTGAATATTTGTTTCTCTGTGGGAATTTTAAGGAGAAAGGGTGTGTTACTTAAGCTGTTAATTTGAACTTGGTAGAATGAGAATGCAATTGGTGAAATAACCTTTTTATACATCGAAGGAACAATAAAAAACTTTTCTCCCTTGGACTAATAGGTGATGTTGTATTGTCCAACTAATTTATTAGAGTAGTTTTAGTTCCAATAATTAGGTGATGTGTATGCTTGGTAATTTGATTGTCAAGTTATGTGAGTTCATTTTAATAATGTAGCACATGACTAATATTTTTGGATTGGTATTTTACTGTATGTAAATGCTTGAAAAGCCATGAAAATGAGTTTGCCTTTCGACTCGGATTGTTTCCCTTTGTTCTTTTACTCTCACTTGATACTCAAACTAATGTGGTCATCAGTTAAGAAACAGTTGGGTTTTGGATTTAAGAAGTTACTTTTGCGACAGTTAACATAATAGAGATGCTTTGTAGAGACTTGCTTGTCTGAGATATTATATGATCTTGATGTTATGGATAACATGGGTTTGGGATCACTTTGCAATTCCACCTGTTTGCTTGTTTTTCATAACAAGTTAAAGTTAAATCGGTATCAATTTTGGGTTTTCCAGAACTTCAACTGAATGTTTTTGTACAATAGTTCCACAACCTTGGTTTATTTGTCGTATACATGGCTGTTTTACCTATTGACACCTTTTCATTAATAAACTAATATTTTCTTGTTGCTTGAAAGTTCTCTAGTATGAATATCATTATTGCGTTCTAATATATGCTTTCTTTGTTTGACCATCTAGAGCGGACAAATCTGTGATGGCCTCCTCGGGTTTTCAGGCAGATGTGAGAGCTCTGCAGAAGGTCTTGTCAGCCAGGCACTTGGTGAGTTATCTATGCCTATTAAATTCGAGAATGCAGTTAACCTGTTCTTCTCTATATGCGTGCTTCTCTATATGCGTGCTGCTTTGTGCCATTTGACCAAGAGAAAGTACAATAATGGTAGTTGGAGCATGCACTTACATTTGACTCACTAGCTCTTCTATTTCTTTTGATACCTCGACAATAGAATGTAAATGATAACAAATCATATATGCATAAGTATAGAATATCACCTAAAATTTTTGAACATTTTTTCTTGCAACTCCAAAGGGACCTCTTAAAGTAATTTTGTGTATTTATATATTGTCTTACGTAAAAGGTAAAAATAAAAAGCAGCGTTATCTTTGACTTTCAGCTAAATAGGGTAAGGGTTGTATCTCAACTCGAAGGGGACATATGGTAGGAGAAGTTACATATAGTGTATCATATTTTTTATGAACAAGAATTTGATATTGATGTAGAGTTTGACTGGATAGATTTAAACTATAATCTTCTGATGCCTTGTACCTTGGTTATTTGTTGGAATTGATGCCTAATATTTGTTGTTCTTGTTTGACTTTAGCTCTATCAACACCAGCATAACAAGCAAATGAGCTGTCCTGCAATGGCACAGCTGCTCTCTAATACCTTGTACTACAAACGTTTCTTCCCTTACTATTCTTTCAACGTCTTGGGTGGCCTTGACCATGAAGGTAAAATATCAGATATGTTCATTAATTTGGGCTTAAGTCAAAAATTTTCTAATTATGACATTTTTGTTTCTTTGATTTTCTGTATCTTGAAGGAAAGGGCTGTGTTTACACTTATGATGCTGTCGGATCTTATGAGAGGGTGGGATACAGCTCTCAAGGTTCTGGTTCGACTCTTATTACACCCTTCTTGGACAACCAACTGAAGTCTCCAAGTCCTCTCTTATTACCTGCAAAGGTTTGACCTTGGCAACAATCTTTTAGGAAATAACTTTTAGCTTTTATTTTAAGTATCTCAGAGTGAAAAAACATAAATTAATGCAGGATGCGGTTACGCCTCTTTCGGAGACGGAAGCCATTGACTTGGTGAGAACTTGTTTTGTATCAGCAACAGAAAGGGACATATACACGGTAAGTTTCTGTTCTTTCCTCTATACTAACCCTACTTGGTGAGATTTGTGATTGAATGTTAAGGCTTGAATGAAATATATTTTCGTTTTAAAAATCTCTTGCTGTCTACTGGTTTTATCTGTAATTTTGATTGGGCTCCAGCTCTGAAGGAGTTATGTTTTTAACTCTATCTCTCTCTCTCTCACACACACACACACACACACACAGTATTAATGAGTCACTTCTAGATTTTTTCTTTTCATTTCCTCTTAAGAGTAGTTAGATGCTTTCTCATAAGAACCTGATGATGCGTTTGTTGAACTGTTACCTTTGATTTTGGAGCAAATAACGTTTTAGTTTAATAAATTCTTAAATCAGAAGTAGATGGGTAATTGATAAGATAAACTAGGGCCTATCAATTTTTGCGTGTTCCGTGCAGTTGAATGTTAACACCTTGAGAAGATATATACATACAAATATATATATATATACATACAAATATATATATATATATATATATATATATATATATATATATTTTTTTTCCACATACATTTCCGACTGCTTGACATTATATCGGTTACCATCCTGATTCTTCTATCATTTTAGCTGTTGACTTTTTTGTTAATATATATGTGTGTGTGTATATTTTAAGTTGACTGTTGTCCGAGCATAACCGATGTGGATTAGTACGAACCCGGTTCATCCATCCAATACGCGTATTTTAGATGTTCAAACAAAAATATTAAGCTGTTTCTCATCCGTATCAATTTGCTGTTTGTTTTATTGTACAGGGAGATAAGCTGGAGATTGTCGTTCTGAATGCCAGTGGAATTCGTCGCGAGTACATGGAACTTAGGAAAGATTAAATTTGGTTTCCCGTTTCTTGTTCCCCTGCTTTTCGAACTGAGAGGGAGCGAACTAGATTAAAAGCAAGATGTTTCTCAAGTGTTTCCGAACACATTTCTTGCCTTTTTTTTAGCTGGACGAACGCTTTCTTTCACAGAACTTGGTTCAAGTTGTTTTATTACTGGAAAGTCTGTTTGTGTTTAAACCTTAATCTGGGATGTTATGTAGTGACTGCTGATCTGGCAACCTGATTCATTGGAATATGTATCTTAAGAAACTTCTATTGATTCTTATTTTACTTCTAGAAGCATGAAACTGATGTGAAGTAACCTTTCTACGCTAAGTCCGTTGGGTTGAATTAATTATAATTAATTAAATAATTGGACTTTATCGAAAATGCTTTAGTTTGTCAAATCATTTCTTGCGTCGACGCACAATTGTGTAAAATATGTGACTAATCTTGGCTAATTATGAAATTATTTATTGAACTTCTCATGGTTCATTAATACATTTGATTTTTTTATGAAATTATTCATTTTATAGCTTAGCTAAATTTTTTTCTTAGAAACAAGATAGTGTTCATAATTGAATAATACAAAATGGGGTAAATTACAGTCGAATTTAGTGGAATGTACTACATTACGTGGAATATTTTTCAGTTTGTATCCGTTAGAGAACATTCCAGGGAATTTAGAAGATTTTGTTCCATTTGACACCATAAGACGGTGTATCTTGGCTTGTAAAAACTAGACGGTGCATCAGAAACTATTTTTTCCCACAAAACGAGTACAAATCAGACAACATTCCATTGAATCTAAAAGATTCTACTGAATTAAAAAAGGATAATTGTCTTTATCCAAACAAGAGTTATTTTTTTCGTAATTTGACCTCTAATCGTAATTTACCATCCAAAAATAATAAAGCAAGTATTGGCAAGATAAGTAATCATAAAAATGCAGATTTCCTTGCAAGTTTCAGAAAAATAAAATAAAATAAAATAAAGCAAATTCTCGGGCAAGCTAAAAAACGCATAAATAAGGTTTGACTTCCGAGAAATATCACGTTGACCGAGGCGCGCGGGAATAACTAGAGAAGCACGAAGTACCACTCTACAGACGAGCCTTCCACTGCTTATATACAAATTTTCGAAAACCCCTCTTTCCTTCTCCACCAAAATCTGCGATTTTCTTCTGGAAATATGGCTCGAAATAAGGTAATCTTCGTTCAATGTTATATTCGCAGTTCCGTTTGTGATAGTGTTTGCGTATGATGTATAATCGATTTTTGTTGTTGTTGTGTGTCAAATGAGGAAGGAATTGCTCTGCATCAGTGGTTGATTTAGTGTACTAATTTGTGTTTTTTGGGTTAACAGGAGGGTTTGGTTTTGGTGCTTGATGTTGGTCTGTCGATGCACGCCGTGCTGCCGGAAGTAGAAAAAGTTTGTTCTATGCTGATACAGAAGAAGGTACATCAAAATTCCTTTAGTTCCGAACAGAACAGAATAATTATTTTAAAAAAAAATTAGGTTTTTTGTAGTAATGTAAATGTAATTCGGTGTTTGCATGGGCTAGAAATGTTCTAAAAATTACGATTTTCTTTGTTCGATTTATGCAGCTGGTTTACAACAAGTATGATGAAGTGGGGGTTGTTGTATTTGGTACTGCAGGTATTTGTTTGAATTTCTGCAGTGATACATGGAAACTTTTAATTTCTAGGTTATTTTTACTTGCGCTTGTGAAATAAATTGCATTTATTCTCAAGTTTTATATGTAAATGATGATATAGTTAATCATGCAAAGCGGGTAAAATGTAATGAAATTGCGATTGTTGATTACATTCGTGACAATGTATTTGTTATATTGTTCATTTAAGAGATGTAATGAATAAATTATTTTTGAATATTTCAGAAACTAAAAATGACTTGACGGTGGAGGTGGGTGGATACGAAAATGTGATGGTTTTGCGAGGTATAAAGGTCGTAGATGGAGATCTCGTTGAAGCTTTACATCAACTTCCCCGAGGAACTGTACATGGAGACTGTATCCAATCCAGTGCATGTTTTTTCTCCTGACCTCTATTACTTGTTTTTTTCTTGGTTTGTGGATGCATGTTTTTCGTCAAGTATAATCGAGTTTTATATTTTATAGGGGGCTTTATTCGTTGTAAAGTAGACGATAGTGTTTGGTCACTACATATCATTGCTTGGAAAATGTTAGCATTGATGATTGGAATATTCTTTTTGTTTTTAATTCATGTCATGAAAATATGTCGCCTTAACTTTGCTGAAGTTCTTGATGCGATTGTCGTGGGGATGGATATGATAATTAAGATGTATGGGACAACTAACAAGGGAAAGAAACGTATATGCCTCATAACTAATGCAGTTACCCCAACTAAAGATCCATACGAGGGAACAAAAGAGGACCAAGTGAAAACAGTTGCTGCGCAGATGATAACACATGGCATGAAGATGGACTCCATCATTATTAGAACAAAACAAGATCGGGAGTTGGATAAGGATGTTGTGGAAGAGAATGACTTCCTATTAAGTGTATTTCCTAATAATTCTTCTAAGGTGTATGTTGAGAGTGCAACTTCATTATTAGGTGCACTAAGAACTCGTAATATATCACCGGTGACTATATACAGGGGTGATCTTGAGTTGAACTCCGACATTAAGATCAAGGTGAGACTTCGTCATATGATGCTAATTCTTACATTTGTTTCGAATTCTAAGTTACTTTTTCATGGGACATGTCTTCACTTTGCATGGTGACATCTTTTATACAACCTTCGTGTTCTGATTTTGTTATTAGGTATGGGTCTACAAGAAAACATCAGAAGAGAAATTTCCCAGTTTGAAGAAGTATTCTGATAAAGCACCTCCAACAGATAAATTCGCCACACACGAAATTAAGGTTGATTACGAATACAAAAGTACGGGAGATTCTAGTAGAGTTGTACCACCTGAACAGAGGATCAAAGGCTACCGCTATGGTCCTCAAGTAATTCCAATATCATCTGCTGAGTGGGATGCCGTGAAATTCAAACCAGAAAAGGGTGTGAAACTTTTAGGTTTTACCGATGCTTCAAATATTATGAGGTAAAAAATCTTAGTGCGTCTTGCTAAAATCCATAAGATATTTGTTCTTTTAATTCTCACACAATTACTGAATGTCCTCGAAGACACTATTACATGAAAGATGTCAACATCTTCATTGCCGATCCTGGAAATACGAAGGCTATCCTCGCTGTTTCAGCATTAGCGAGAGCGATGAAAGAAATGAACAAGGTAGCTATTGTTCGCTGTGTTTGGAGACAAGGACAGGCAAATGTTGTTGTAGGGGTACTAACTCCTAATGTATCCGAGAAAGCTAGTACCGTAAGTAACTACAGGCAAATATGCAAACCAATTGTTTCGATTTGAATTTTTGCTACTTATTGTATCATTCTTCTTAATTTTGCAGCCCGATTCATTTTATTTCAACGTACTTCCTTTTGCGGAGGATGTGAGGGAGTTCCAGTTTCCATCTTTGAGCAAGCTCCCATCATCAATGCAGCCCAATGAAAAACAACAAGAGGCTGCGGATAAGTTTGTCGAAATGCTTGATCTTGCTCCGACTGGCAGAGAGGAAGTTCTGCAACCCAACCTCACACCCAATCCTGTTCTTGAGGTAATTAATTACCTGCGATAATTATTTGCACTGGAAGCCCATCAAAATAATTCTGGAAATTGATCGAAATAAATATCTGGCCTTGATCAATTCCTTATAAAAAAACCTTCATTGTTTCCGTTTCACCTATCAGTTTAAAACTGCTAAAGCCACAGTGTGTTTGGTGAAATTTCAGCGTTATTATCGCTCCCTTGAGTTGAAATCAAAGGACCCAAATGCTGCTGTTCCTCCACTAGACGAGACCCTAAGAAAGATAACAGAGCCTGATGCTGAACTTCTTTCTGAAAACAGAGCTGTGATTGAGGAATTCCGAAGGTTCTTCGAAGTCAAAGAGAACCCAAAGGTATTATAATATTCATCATTCATCACTCATCTCATTGCAAAAAAGAAGATTTTTTTTTTTATTACAATTGTGATATCGTTGTTTGGTCTATCCATCCTGCAGCTCAAAAAATCATCTCGAAGAAGAGAAAAGCCCTCTGGATCAAATGAGGAAAGAGAAGGTATTGGTGCAGTTGGCGAAGCCATGGATGCTATTGAATATACATCCAAAATCAAAGTCGAGGAAATAGGGGCTTCAAATCCGGTTCATGATTTTGAAGCAATGATATCTCGTAGAGATGGTCCACAATGGGTCAGTAAAGCTATTCAGAGTATGAAAGATAAAATATCCAATCTAGTCGAGAACTCTTCTCAAGGAGATACCTATCAGAAAGCACTCGACTGTTTAGTTGCTCTCCGTAAGGCTTGCATTTTAGAACAGGTATACTTCCTTTGCTCCCACCCCCCACCCCCATAACTCCCTCTATATATATAATAACCAATTGTGGAGTAATGCAACAAGATTTCGATTTGACAGGAGCCAAAACAGTTTAATGATTTTTTGCTTCATCTCCTCAAATTATGCCAAAAGAGAGAACTCAAAAGTTTTTCTGAATATTTGGCATCACATGAAATGACACTAATTAGCAAGAACGAAGCACCGGAGAGGTCTGATTTTTATTATTATCTTCCATTTGTTTATTCTTTTTGTCGATTCTAACATTTTTTTTTTCTTTTTTTCCGATACTTAATATTCTTCTTGTGTCCATGCAGTGACATCTTAGAGAATGAAGCCAGAACCTTAATAGTGAAAGATGAGCCAAAAGCTGAGCAAGGACCGTAGCAAATATGTTAAAGGTTTCGTTATCTTGGAATGACATTTTGATGCTTTAACCAATTACACATCTCCTTGGTAATCAGGAAAACGATGATGCTTTTGTGGCCAACTAATTATGTCAAATATATGTGTTGACTTTTCGTAGTTTTCATGCCTCACCTCCTTTTTTTATGCTACATAGGTTCATATTTAAGCAAACTCGATCTTGCCTGGTACAGAATATGAATCTGCGTGAAAGAAAACTTCAACATTTGCAGACGGATGAAAAGTCCGAAGTCTATGAATGATCTATAGCTAATTAGCTAATTTTTCACTACTAGTGAGTAACAATTAATTCTAATGTCATCCCAGAAAAACTGAACGAAATTTTCCAAAATTAGAAACTCAGACTGGAAATTAGTTGAAATTAAAAATTCAATTTCTGATTCATATTTAATATTGATATTATAAGCTTAATTTTCATAATAAATTTGAATTTTTTAAATTGTATTCAAAAATTAAAATTTTATTGGCAAATTGGAACCCAACATATAAATTCCATATTTGATGAGCTGAGATCTAATTATGATGCAAAGCCATGAATATATTCAGATAAAAGTTGCTTCAACATATTCAACATTTATCAAAACGGCCAACAGATATACTTTCAAGTCCAGTGATTTTGCCTGCCTAATGGAGATTTTTGCCACATCAGTAGGCCAACAGAAATGCACCGTGTCAATCCATTGGATTCGCACGAACCTTCTTACAGAGACATTGATAGCATTTTACCAGTATCCAAGTTCCATATATACTTGCACCATTGAAATCTTTAAACAAACCCCCCCGCCCCAACACCGCCCCCCAATAAAAAAAAATCTGCCTCTATTTTTTCAGCTGGACCATAAAGCTTCAGACCCCATTTCACACGAATCTTCTTCCCTTCAACCCTCGTTTCTTCCAGGACAAGCAAAAGTTGGAAGAAAAGAGGAAAAAACAAAGTCAGACAAAACTAGAAGCAGTTATTTTCGGACACTAACCAACTCAACATCATAAACAAGCCACGAGTTAGGCGGAATATTTTCTCCTATTGCATGATCTCCAAAACTGCACCACAAAAAAACGAGCATCTTAAAAACTGCTTTGGGACAAATGAGCATATTGTTTTTTGGAAGATTCAAAACATACCCCATAGAAGGTGGGATTATCAGCCTCCTCTTGTCACCGACACGCATACCTGAGCATATCATTTTTTTTAAATGAAAAGGTTACGTAGGTAAGAAAAGGCATTGGTTTGCAAAGAAAATAAAACGGTTAAAACTAGTAAGGATCGGTTTCAAGAAGTAGCTACCTTCGATGCCAACATTCCATCCATCAATAAATTCTTCATCACCTGGGTGTTTAGATGCAATGACGATAAGTAAATAAATCACTAAAAATCATTTTGAATTTTTTACTTATCTTTTCAAATAAACATTGGGTAAAAGATACTAGAATTGGTACCTAATCGAAACTTGAAGGCCGTTTTACCAACATTTGAGTCAAAAACAAGCCCACTCTCCTTCAGCATGCCAGTGTAATGAAATTTGATCTGAGTTCGAGGTTCATTTACTCTGTATTAATTAAGCCAAATGATAATAATAAATACATTGATATATGTTTGACAAAGGTATATACCTTTTTACCAGGTGCAGCTACTTTCCCATTAGGCGGTCCGCTTGCCAACTCTTCAATAATCAACCCATTTGATAAGGTCCTCTTTTGAATTGACGCTGCATTTAATGTCTGTTCATCGTTTTTCACGTGTGTTGTCTCTTCATTATCTGCCATATCAGTTACGTTTGTGTTCGAGTCCTTCTGGCTATGAGCTTTCTTCCTCTTTTTCTTAGTCTTCTTCTCAGATTTATTTGTGGCGGCATTGCTGCATGTCGAAATTTCGGTTATTGAGTTACAACATTAGAATTTGAAATCTGAAAGGCAGCGGTAACTATTAATGCTGCTTGGCAAGACACAAAAAGGAATCATGTTCTATTGTGCAAAAGAGTTGTATTAAGTTTAGGTTACAAATGAGTTTCTCAAACAATTTTTTTTTTTTTTAAATTTACGAGTTCTAGGAAAAATGCATGTCATGGCCTGAATTATTTTGCCAAGTCTAAAATAATTTGGTAATTTGTGGTTGTAATCGTACATTCTTCCTTAAAAGAGTCTATCAAGCAAGTTTAATATTTTAACCTTGACCTGACAATTCAGGTTTGAGAGTTCTTAAAGGGGAATTTTTATGGTACCTAAACCAGAGAGGAAAGCAACTGAATCTGGGAACCCAAAACTACTCTTTCTGGTAATATTTCCCGACCATGAAGATTTTTATTGGTTTTCAAAATATTCAAGGCAATTTAATTTTTATTTAGAATGACAATCTGAAAAATAAGCCACAGTTCACTGCTCTCGTCTTCATTTTCAATTTTTTTAAACTTAAAAGAAATAAAAAGAATAATTAGCACTCGATTCCTAGCACAAGTAACGAATATTGAGAAGAGGAAAACTTAAAAGAAAGAAAAGGCAAGATAAATACTAACTTATCAATCAGTTGTTCCTGGTATTCTCCATTTGCTACTGTCTGATCCTTCATAACGTTGTCAGCCTGTAGAATATCTTGGTCAAGTTTATCCTCTTTAGTAATATCAGGACTTTTTCCACCAATCCCTTCTGCAGAGGTTTCTTCTAATCTCTGCTGTTCCTCAGATTCACCATTTGCAACTGGAACATCTTTTACCACACTGTCACCATTTTGCACCAATCCTTGGTCGTCTTTATCCTCTTCAGTAATATCGTGACGTTTCTCGTCAAGCCCTTCTGTATATGTTCCTTCCGATCGGAGTACATTCCTTTTCTTCCTCGATTTTTTAGCATCCACAGAGTCCAATTCTGGAGGAGTCGCCAAAGAATTTGCACCAATTTCCCTGATTGAGCATGTAATACAAGATGAAAACTCGTGAAGGTTACAGAATATAGTAGCCAAGAAGCAGACACTTATGCATGTTAATATAACATTCTTACACGTCAGTGGAGGCCTCAACTTCATGCTCTTTATCCTCGTTACCTGTCTGAACTTCACAGGTCTTGTCCTGCCTCACTGATGGTCGTTTTCTTTTCTTTTTTGGTTTTGCACAGATCCCACACCTAAGTGAGACAGCAAACGAATAGATAGGGCAAATTAGATCATGTAAAACATTCTTGAGAAAATACAGGTATTATATAACACATTTTTTACATCATACTCACAGATCAGGGGGTTGCTTCTGATCTTCCCCGTTGCTCGTAAGCGGATTCTGGTTTATGATGGTATCCGTTACCTTGTCTTCAATAGTCATGTCGCCAGTTAAAACCTTTTCATTTGAAACAATATTTTCCTCAAGAGTCTCCACTTCCTCGGGAATATCATTCTTGATCTCAACCCCTTCTTTATCCAATGGTAGATTTGTCTCTCTATATAAATATATAAAATCAAGAAAATAAAACCATAGTAAAATTACACCCTGTAAAGCGAATGCAAAGACTCAAATAGTATATCGATTGTTACCTTTCTAGATTGTCGTTGATATCTAAAGGATCAACCTTCTGCTTTGATTCAGTACCACATACACCATTATCTTTCGCCTCATCCCCCATTTCTACAATTATCTCAGCAATTATTTCTTTAGCATCAGATATGGTTGTCTTGGCAGCTCCTTTACTCTTCAACGAAGATAAAGTGTTGGCAGCTTCATCTTCATCTTGACTTTCATGTGATTTAGCATCCTTATTTGACTCAATAACAGGGGATTTCTTCTTAAGTTGTTTACCACGACCCTTTCTACCCTTCGGCTTATCAAATTCCACTGTAGGCTCATCTAATCCTTTAATAACAGAAAGTCCAAAACATAAAACCAAATGTCATGTTGATACTCTTATTCTAAATGATAAACATTAAGTTAACCATTTAACATCAATTATTAAGATCTTTGGGTTCCTGTATTATGATGAGGCACTCAGATAAGAATTTAATGGCTCAAAAAATTATATTTAATATATCTAACGAGTATCCAGTTGTAAGAACAGATAAGAGAAATGACCGCATGCATCTAAAAAATACCTTTGCCAGGAGAACTTGGAGAAACTTTAACCCCATCGTTATCAATAAAACTGTCCTCATGTTTATCATCACTATTGTAAGTAGATGCCTCTGCATGAGAGTTTTCAATATCCACACCAAACGATTCTCTATTGGTTCAGAGTGAAGGAAGCCGATAATTCCCAACATATAAACAAAATAAAATTTCGACAAGAACAAAGTGAAATTTTACCATAGAAGTCAAATCTACAAGTTATTGAGTAGACTGTTATTTACATTTTCAGCTAAAAATTGTGAAGTGTCACAAAATTACAAAATTCACACTAAATGTGATTGTTAGAATCGAAGAGGAAGAACATGAAAAAGGATACTTGGCATCACTCTGCACATTTGACTGTTGACTCTGAAGGACATAATAACCACTGAGGAAGACACTTCGGGGGCCAATAACAGAGAAAACCACATCATCTGACTCCTCAAACTCCAAACCTACATGAAGTGTCTCTATTTTGCTGGGCAGCAATGAACACAGTAAGATCGGATTTCCGTTTCCCACATTACACTGGACAGTAGTTTTCTTTGCAGCTCCACTAATTCCAAGAGTTGCCTAAAATTTCAAAAAAAAAACAAATACCAACGAAATTTAAAGAAAGCTCACGTGGCAGTATCAAATTTATGGCCAGATAAGCAGTACAGTGAGTGATTTCTTTTGTATCACTAACTTCCCCAAACATAACCTCCAGAAAGATTTTCCGAACAAAACCATTAAAGTATTCAAGCTTTTTCTCGAACAAATAAAAATATTCACCAAATCCAATGCGAATTACATCTAGAAATCGATAGTAACAGAATATGAAAGCATGATCTAAGGAAGAGTTTCAAATATTGATACGCTATTCCAAAATTGAATTAATACCAGTTGAATTCGAAGCCTTCCCCTAGCTTTTTCACAGAAATGAGTGATTGGCTCTCCGGGTTTTACCTCTATACCTGAAACACAAAACAAAATGAAAATGGAAAAACACATTCACACACTAAAACTCTATTCTTCCGTTCTGTACATGGAAAACATCTGCTGAAAACAAATCGTTGAGTTTTCAGAAACAGTTTCACAGACAACACAATCAATCATTTTGAAACTATACCGCACACAGTTTACACACACACACACACACACACACACACACACGTGATCAAAGAGAGGCGGGCGGGAGAAGAATGCTAACCCCAGAAAGCCATTATCGCAGGTAGAGAATGCCGGAACTGCAATACTCGACTACTACATACATCTACTTCGTATGTATCACCGATCCTTCTCTCTCATTAAAACCCTAGTGTGTGCGTATCTGTGTGTGAGAGAGAGAGTTTGATTCGTGGTTCGATATTTCTTAAACCCTCAATGCTTTTATACATTGGGTTACGGCGGGGGTTCAATTTCTAATTTTCTTTCTTCTTTCTTTACGCGCATATTTCACTTTTCACATTGGCATCAAATTTTATGCAAAATAGAAATTTGGCCTCTATTTTTTATGTTATTCTAATTTTATACTATTTTATTGTAGGGTACTTTTGTCCTTTTACTTTCGGTCAATGACTAGGTTCACAGTGGATCGAGTATGTTATTTAAAAAAATTCACAAGTTGTTTACTAGTTTATTTATCACACGGGGTTTTCTACTATTTCGAGATTATACAGGGGTAATTTTTGCAGTTTACGACACAAAATAAGAGAACATATAATAGTGCCACATTCCAATGAAACCAAAAGGAAACTCAATTAAACATCATATGATAACAGTCCAAAAACCAGTCCCATGCATCAAATCAAATCTTATATTCAGCAGATTCCAATTTGTATATTTAGAAAAAAAAAAAAAAGATATCCTCATTTCAGTGTAAAACATTAGATAGTGTGACTCGGAGTAACCAAAATTTCGTTAAAAGTAACCGAATAACTATCTCTGCCTTCTGTGTGGGCAAAACGAAAAAAGAAGAAAAAAAAACCTCAACCGAAGAAAACCACCTCATCATCTTTCGAACTTTTCAACATAACCAGTTTTCCAAGCACATCATTGCCTAATTAATTCTAGTGAAGACAAAGGCGAACGAGGTTTAATTAAGCCTGTGAAGTTTCAGCTTCTTTTCCATCCAGAAAACTATCGACTTTTAAGCCTTATCTGGGGCTGCCCACATTTTCACTTTCTTGTCGGTGCTCGACGTGGCTAAAACAACTACCCGCTTGTTTTCTGCAGAAAAACACACAATTGACAACAAAATTATAATCGAATAATTGTTTACAAAAAGGATTGCTAATCTCAAAAAATACAGGAAATAACAAATAAACGAAATAAATCATTCCGTTTTATGTTTTTTGCTGTCCAAAAAAAGGTTCATTAAGTGACAAGAAGATAATGCAGTACGAAAGAATTTACCCATCGGAATGGTTGTAGGTGCCCATTTCATGTCCGTGATTTCACCTGCATCGCAATTTGCTTAAGTCAAATACGTGAAGGCAGTTTGCATTATGCATGTATCTGGAGTTCATTACTGCACAAGGTATATATGTATTTATATTGATCAGATTAATGACACTTAATTAGGATTCATCAACTCTGGATTGGAAAATCAACTCATAATTTAATTTAAACTTCTCAGTCAAACATAATCGCCTCTTATCATTGCCAATTTTCGGAAAGATGAATAGTCTTTGAACAATAACCAATCTTACCAACTTTGGCAATTTCCACTACTTGTTTGAAATTTCTAATACGATTTACCAGAGATAATGTTATTTGGAAACCTATTAATACGATCGTACTGCACACAAAGAATCGAGAAAATATGTTTACCGTCATGCGCTTTTTCAGCGGTGTCCAAAACCTGCCCTGTCTCAGCACAGAGCCATTGCAGTGTTGTACCGTGAGTTGCCGCCAGTATCTTTCCATCGGGAGATAAACTGAGACGGTCATAATGTAAAGAAGTGCCTTTTGCGTCTTTTAGTGGAATTGGGAACACTTTCAAAGTCTTGGGATCTTCATCTAGGTGGTATCGAACTTCATGAAAAAAGCAAAAGGTCGGCAAAGTTATACAAGGTAATAATTATTACATGATATTTAAAATAAATAAAAAAATAGCATCTACACTTAATGAACAACTAATGCCCAGCGAAACAATATCACCCTTGTAAGATATGGGAAGTTGATGTGGTTATTCTTTCATTTATAGCTTTTATAGTTTACGTTTATTAAATAGTCAATCTCGAGAATTTAAAGACATTATTAAATAGATTTCTGTCATAAACTTCAAGATTATAGATGTCTTCGAATTCATAAATGCAGAAGAGTGCAATTAAAGAAGCTATCAGCTATTCATACCGTTGATATTCCATATTCTTATTGAACCATCCTTTGAGGCTGTGATAATCTGCTCCGAATTTGGAGTAAAGCATAGCCATGTTACAGCACTCTGAACATCAACGATACACAAAATTAAAATTATAGAACAAAAGGATGGTGAAGGGCGAAGAAACAACAAGCATATACTCGAGAATGTAAAAGTCACTTGTTTAATTTGGAAAACAATTGCTAATGAATGTAATACATTGCAACCTGAATCGGGATCTACAGACAGAGTCCATAAGGAAATAGTTATTCACCATTTCAATGAATACTATGTCAATGTAATGAATTGAGGGTTTGATGATAACTTCTACGAAAGTTGGGATTTTATATCATATGCAATGATAGAAGATTAATAATCATATAAAGAATTGCAAAGCATGTATGCAACGAAACCTTGTGACCCTTGAGTTGCATAGCTTTCACAATCTCCTTCACCGAGCCATCTTTTGAGTACACAATTTCCCAGACCTGTATAGTAAAGCTAAATTAGGTAAATGTCATGTTGGTTGACACAGTGAAAGATCAGGTGAACTTAACAGCATAACATGAACATAATCAGAATATAACAAGAAACAACCGAGAATGATCAATTTGGAAGTTAGGCGTTCATCTTTCCATGTTTTTCAATTGCCATACAAATAACAGAGAGATGGAAAGACAACCACTCACAAAATGAATCATAGATGGACAGAGATATCACTTAGGAGTCCTCACAGTCAAACGTAGTAGACTCAATAATCAAAAAGAATTATCACCTTCACATCAGCAGTAAAAGCAGCTGCTGCAATGAAACGACCATTTGGAGATACGCTGGCCATTGTATTTTTCAGTTGATTCGTGTCAACGTTACCCAACATCTTCCCAGATTTTCCATGCCAGAGGATAATATCAGTGCCTGAAAAGAAACATGAAAACCAAATGGAGAGAAATTACTTATATATAAGCCATACTCATGAGAGCTAAACACCAAAGGGTTCACAAGTCATAAGTACTCTACCAAGTCGATAACACCAAAGGGTTTACACGCATATATAAATATCAACCTTTTTTAAATTCAAATCTTTTTACAAAAGGGGAAATAGGGCAGGGGCAGGATATGAACCCTATACCTCGGCCTTAGTAATCAAGACTAACAATGAGAATTGGTCGAGAAAGTAATATATAACGTAGGAGAAATATCACGAAATTAGAAGTATCTTCGTGTAAGCTCAAAATCCATACAACTGATGGTATCATAAAACAGAAAGTACCTTCAGAGCACGACAAAATAATTGTACTGCCATCAGCGCTGCCGTAAGTTGCCTTGGTTCCGACAAGAGTTATGATTTCCTTCTTATCGTGAACTTTATGATGTTCCCATTTGATTTCAGGGAGAGGGAGTTTGCTCTTCTGATCAGCATCTGCTTTAGGTTTTTCTTCTCCATACATGTATAGAGATGAACCTGAGAGTGTTTGGGAAGCCACTACAACAGATGACGCATCATCGGCAATAGCAAGGGCCGTGGGATGACCTCCAGCAGGTAAGTTAATTCTCAGAAACCTAAACAGATATAATTACTGTAATTAGAATTAGCAAAAATAAAACAGTTTTACCAATTCGTATGAATAATATATATTATAGATTAGTACTTGAAACTCTTGCTTGATGCATCATCCAACTTGAAAACCCTGATTATACCATCTCCACAAGCTGTACAAACAAACAGTGTGTAAAGAACTTCAAACTTAAATAATAACCTCAGATTTGAAAAACGAGATGCCAAGTTAACATGACTAGGTCATTAACAAGTTTAAATATATATTATATAGCCCACAATTCACATAAAAAAGAAAATTAGAATTACAACTTTCCCATATGATCCGTATTTACGACAATAATTATTGAAAAGGAAACATAAATCGGGAACTAGATATATTAAATAATGGATGAATGACACCAAGAAAGGCTCTCAAACAAGCAGGAACATCAAATTTGCCTTTGGATAGAAAGACAATCCTGCAATAAATAGCCGAAAAAAGGAGTAGTACGCTTCTTCCTTCTATGATACTAATCATCTTTCAATGTGTTCTTTTCAAACTCGAAAGAAAAATAGTCCACGTAACAAGATACAATGAATGCTAAGAAAACCAACTATCATCTGAGCTAAAATTGCACGATATCTCCACTTTACATGCCGAAGCAGTCAACAGTTCAGACATACTAAAGAAAAAAATGTCCAAGCTACCAACTCACTTGATCAATTATAAATTACAATAACTCCTGATTCCAAGGTAATTTTACCAAATTCTCCGACTAATCCTACACCTTATGAACGAGTATTCATACAATGAAATTAACAAGTTATTGCATATATTTTATTGTTGAACATTTCGGAAATTTCAAACCTCAACAAAACAAAGTCCACTATTCAATAAGATTTCCACAGCGTAGATACTTTCGTTCGATCCAACTTTGCACACATTATATTCTTAATTTTGCAGGATTACGTAGTAACAAAAATTCAACAAGAAAAATTACATAATAAACTAAAAGCGACAAAATTACCAGTTGCTAAGCTGCGTGCATCGCTCGAAAAACAAAGACCGGTGACAGCATCGCCGTGCCCTTTCAATGTATTCAAATCCAGATGATGGTGCTTCTTGTTAGCATCCTACAATTTCACAAATACAATACAATGGCGAGGTCATATTAATCTCAAAACCCCCAAACAAAAAAACAGCAAAAATTAACCCATAAATGAAACATCCTTACTTTATCAGCTGCATGAGATTTGTGATGGGGCTTCTTGGCAGCCGATGGCTTCGAAGCGGGCTTCGGGTTCGGGTTGAGAGTTTCGGGTCGGGTGATGGATTGGGTTTCTGATTTTCTCTTCCCGAAGTAGGCACCGAATGCAAGGAATGCGATCAGAGCACCGACGATCACCGAGAAAGCGATGATTGGGAGAATTGCATCCATTTTCGTCAATTTTTCAGTTTCAATTACGGACTTTTACAGTGAAATCTAGAAGATTTGTTGTCGTGCTTGATGAAGCTGCAAGAAATACACAGATATTATTTGGGCTGCGCCATGGATTCATAGATTTGGGGTTTACAAAATAAGCCCAACTCCAAAAATAAAAGTAAGGATAAATTACAAACACCTCCCTGATATTAAGTTTATTTACTAATAAACCCCTAATGTTTGATAAATTACATCGATCCCCCTGTAGCTTGTAAATTTCTTACATTCACCTTCCTACAAAAGGGTGTTAATGTAATAAATCTACAAATTTCAGAGGTGGATATAATTATGGAAAAATAAGGGTTTCTTTTTGTAAATACACCTTACCTCAGGGGCTGATTGTAATTTACCGTAAAAGTAAATAACTCGCATAAACAATAAATAAATTTAAATAAAAAAAATCCTAATTTCAAATTTCAAAAGAACAATATATTAAAACATAAAACGATAAACAACAAATAGTGTATAAGACACAAAACAATTGTATTTTTCCGATTATTAACATTTTGAACGGAAAAATAGAAAAAACAACGCATCCAAGTGAATTCACCCGAATGTATATGGACACGTTCGAGTGATTTCACCGGGATGTGCAATTCATGTGCATCCATTTTAAAATTAGTTTTGACCTCTTTAACGTTCGAATATTGGATAAAAGATGAAATTTGTAAATATTTAAGTTGGTTTTTGAACGCATTTTCGATCACTTTAGTTGGGAATTCGAACGTGAGAGTCAGATTAACAAACAGTATCATAACATTAAGTGAATTACCTTTTTGCACGTTATTTTCCTTCTCCGATTTTCACTTTCTCGTCTTTTTTGCTTCTTGTTTTCCGATATTTTTAACCCTTTTGATTACATTTTAAATTGTACATATTTATCATCTTTATCTGCATAATGTATAATACAGTTTAAAAAAAAAAAAAAGAATGAAAGACGTAATCTATGTTGTGATGTTTTATTTGATATGAGCTTCATAATTAAAAAAAATAAATGAAATACATTATGTAGTAAGAGTAGACAAACTAATAATGTAGGCAATCCCACCTACCTCTACACATACTAAAATTCACAAAAATATATTTCAGAAAAAAAAAAAAAAAAAAATATACATCATATTATATGATATATAATCCACGAGCAGGGCGATCCAGGAATGAACCGTCTAGATCCGACGCCTGGCTGCTTCATTATATATCAACTGCATTCTAGACAATGTATTAGAAGATGTAACAAACTAAAAACCAAAAAACGTAAGTGTGAAGATAGATAAAGAAAGCCGTTGGACCCAATCTGCGCCTGTTTGTCCAAAAATATGTTGTCCAAAAATATGTTGTACAAAAACTTTCGAGTTTTCAGAAATTAATGTTTTCCATTGAAAGCTCCTTTTCTGACAGGAGCTTAAGTTTCTGCCCAACAACACAGAATAAACAAGTCATGTTACATATGCAAATTAATTATTCAGATCAACGACCCGTATACATGTAGTCGTATTTAGAATTAGCGTACTCATATATTAAACGAAGAACATATGATATAACGTTTACCGTAATATATTGAGGTGGATCATCAAGACTAGTTGTACCAAGTATCACTTCCCTCCTTAGTTTTGGAGTAAGCTTATGGCAAACCCTAAGCTGAGTACACAACCAACAACAATTTATGTTATGAGCAATAAATCTCCGCAACCAAACGAGGCCTTAATAATGAAAAGGAAAACGAATCATTAATCTTTTTACCTCAGATCTCGTTGCCCCACCAATTATGAACACAAAAATCCGCTGTCCCATCTTCTTGAAATCAGTAGATACACTTCTCAAGACTGAATCACTGGCAAAAACCGTACAAGTACAGAAAAACAAACTTAAAATGAGTTTTCATTTAAAAATTAAAAATAAAATAAAATTATTACCTTGAATATCCATCGTCAGAAGAACGAGGGCGTGCCCACGCGGCAGTTCGTCTCGATCTCATAGAATGTGGAGCAGTAGTAGATTGACCTGTCTTAACCGATGCAGCCTGTGAAGCTCCAGAACTCGCTTGAGTCGAAGCACTAGAACTGTTCATGCACGGGTACTCATCTTTTGCCAATTCTCCCTTGCTCAACTTTTCAATTAACTCCTACGAAATAAAGCTTGTTAAATTGCAACAACTCTCACTTGTGAAAGATAAAATGGTAAATTATATGCAAAAAATGTGATAGCATGGGGAAAAGGTGGTGAAACTTTTCAGCAGTCATTTTTTAGAAACCAAACCTCTATCTTAGGGTAAAACCGAAATAGCGCCCACGTCTCTTCCTCTCCAGTTCGATCCGTTCTTTCTGCATGCTTTTTCTAATAAAGAAAAAACAGTAGCAATATTCAGGTCTCCGTGAATAAACTATAAGCTCTTAGTGTGGTGGAAGTATTTACCTTTGCTGAATCGAACTTGAGTGAGAAACCCCCGAGCGAAGTCTTTTTTGATTCTGCCCCCTCGAGCAACTTCATATTTTTCACAGTTTTCATGTCCGCACGTGATAATTTGGCCAACTAAAGAAGCATGAGAAATATCATCATCAAAATTAGCTTGAGCTTCTACACTGTATTAATTGTAACATCTATTTTTCTTGTCCTATCTTTAGAAGTAAAGATGAAGTATATAACCAGTTTGGGTAATTCATTCATCACATGAAGTAGGGAGTGCGTTGAATTTGTAAACAAAGTTGGTACTAATTTACAGATATAGCAGTAAATCATAAAACGTGTTAATTAACCAAAATCATTTTGAGAGAGAGAGAGATAGATTAATGACCTGCATGAGCTTTATTGCTTGGTCGCCCTCAAACTTTTCTGGATAGACACAAGCATAAATCATCAAAAGCCGCAATCTATTTTCAGACATTCCTTCCTGTAGAGTAAGGAGATGATTATTATGATGACATAATCCAGCAAATCCGAGAAAGAATTTAGCATCAGACCATTGAAATATCAATTACCTGTTTCCCTCTCATAAAGTTGATGACTTCTTTAGTTCCTGCATCTCCAAATACAAGATCCTGCTCCAGTTGTCCAAGTTCTCGAAGACCAACATCTCTGATGATTTTATTAATTTTTCCAGCAATCTGGTAGAAACAAGTATAAAGTCTGTGAAAAAAAGTTCAAAAGGCATGTTTTTATTTGTCTTCATTTGATTGGTCCACATTACTCACACATCTGAATAAAGTGTCTAACATTATACAATAATGGTAATAACCAAATATCTCTAATGAAATGATTTGAAGACTTTGCGGTGAAAAATAACCTCCACATGGAGAGAGAGTTTCGCCATCTGATCATTATATTGTGGCAAAGCTTGAACCATTTTCTGCAGGTCTCTTGTGGACAATTCACTACCATCTCTGCATATAAGCATAACTTGAATGTTAGAGATTCCAAGAGGAAACGGCGAAAAATCATATGGAAATTAATTAAAAAAAACATAGAGCAAAATTGGTTGAGAAATAATGTTTTTTTTTAAACATCTGGGGTTAATCTGTTTCAGTTCGGGCATAAATTTACTTCCACAATAAGTCGAGACATTTTAGACTAAAGTTACTGAAAAAATCTAATCAGCTACAAGTTCACGGATTTATAAGCACCAACCTCTGTTGTAACTGTGCTGCTTTGTTTTTGGAAACAAAATTTGACATCTTCTCGTGCAACCGTTCACTAGCCTAAAATATTAAATTGAGACATTGTGATGGAATATATAATTAATTGGCAAAGAAAATTCACATATGAACTTTTCAAATAACAGAAACAAGATATATGTATGCACGAGTGAACACCTCTGCTATGTGAACATGTCGGAGCTCAAGCCAAACAGGATCAGTATCTTCTAGAAGGACTTCCTTTTTTTCAGGCTCGCCACCTGTTTTGCTAGGAATCTTACATCCACTACATATTATCAGAAAATTTTCTCAGTTCACAAAATAGACTGATTGGGTAAAAACATTTACCTCTTGTACGTATTTATTTCCGTCAAGATCAAGCAGATCATGGCACATAGCATCATACGTCCATTCATGAATGACAGGAGCAATCTAAAAAAAAAAATTGTATAGAAATTCAAAATCAAGAAAAAAAAATGAAAACAAACATGTATCGGGTCGGAAAATTTACGACACCTGATCAACTGATCTGTCCACTATAAGTAGTTCACATGTTTCTGTTGCTGGGAAATTGGGAATGGAAGATCTATAAGTTGAAATGTTGTTCCAAACTGCTGAGGCAAGTTTTGTAGGAACTAAGTCTCGACCAGCAGTCGCTGTGGCGGCATCAGGTCCCTTGGAAGCTCTATACCGTACAAAAGGAAATTCCTGAAAGTGAAAATTATGCCATATTTTACATATTTATTATGGAAAAACTAAATAAAGATATTCCAGTACAGCATCATACTTCCATGTTTTTACATTGGGCAAATTTGATTGACATTCTTACTGTTCTTTGAAGGATTAGGGTAACACACAAATATGATTCTGTTGGTACCTTTAGCGAAGCAAAAACGGTGGCAATTCGCAGGGCCATTACATTCAAACACATATCAAATCTGCGAGAATTTTCAGCATTTTCACCGTAGAGCTCTTCAAGTGCTCTTTCATGATCAGTTATGAATGCCTGACATTAAAATTGCCACACTGGTACAGTTGACAACTATTCCATTTTATATTCCATATGCCAAATAGACGTGATCAAAATCCATTATGAAAAAGTGGATTGCGAATTACCTGACTGTCTATAGAGAAGTACTCTAAATTCATCTGCAATATTCCAAAGGTCAACGAATCAACAAAAGGATTTTTTTTCTTTTTTCCCTCAATATTCAAATCTTGTTACAAATGGAAAAACAGGGGAGGTATGTACCAACTCTAGTATGAGAGATGGTTAACAAAAGGATCGTACATACCGACAAAGTACAAGTAATATATTTTACCTCTCTTAATGCACCAATACGTGGTAAAACACTAGTATCGTTCTTGATCCGGTTAACAAGGTCTTTTGCTACCGGTGAACTGAAGTATACATATGCTCTGCAGTAAGGATATATCGATAAAGAAGGCATTCAGGCTCCATGCTACAAGATAAGCATGGGAAAAAGAACAGTGGTGATTAAAAGATTATGGACATACTTCTTGTATAATGGTTCTCTTCCTGACATGTCAGACAAGAACATGACGATGCTGACAAGGATAAAGATTTAATAATCAGTTCCTATATTCGTACAATTAAATATGAAGAAAACTCGTTTCCCGTTTTAATAGCTCCATTTTAACAATAAATAAGTAAGAGTAGTTCTAAAAAACACATATTACAAAGAGGAATAAGCATGGGAGTTTTGGAGAATGGTCTATATTCTTCACATGCAGTTAGAAACTTTCCGAAAAAAAAAAAAAAAAAATGGGATTTTCAAAATATACTAACTGACGGGGAAAAAAAAATTCCTGATTTTCCTTCAACATATTTACAGACTAAAGAGAAAGGATCAAAGAATGACAGTACTTTTCCTTTGAAGGTTGAATGAAATATATGGCATCCATTGAAGGCAAAGGCTCTCTTCTTCTGAAAAGGTCTTCCACCACTGCAAAATGTGAAATATATAAATGATTTAACAAATAATATGCGAATGACTTCATTTTACACTAATCAAACCATGGTACATCAGGCCATGTAGTAACTGACGACGGGCAAAATAGTAACATATAAAAATAAATAACGAGAAATACATTGCTATACAATAAAATTCAGACCAAGGTTAACATGAATAGAAAAATGAAAAAGAAATGTTCTACTATATAACATAATTAAGTAAATGCTTACGAGAAACTCCTTGGTCAGTGATATCTGCCATTTTGCATGAATGCGACATTACTTTTACGGTGACCTTGTCCATGATGAGTACCTGAATAAAGTCATACACTTGAGAAGAATATAAATCATGCAATAGCCAGTAGCCACCGTCCATGTTTTTCAAAATGCCTCTACACTCTTAAAAATATCCATAGAGAAGAAATATCTCCCCCTTATTCGTTCCCCGAAAAAAGTCCACCGTTTTCATCTTCAAACATTCCTAGCAGTAATATTATGTAATACACCTTTTACCCAAAAAAAAAATTCCGAAACTAGAGGAGTACATTTTTAAAGCGATTTAATATCACCGATTAGATGCGAAACATTGCATGCAAATATTAGCTTATTATTATATGATAAAGCTTATATTGGCAGCAATTAACAGTATTAAATATACCTTCCATGATGATCTCGTCCCTCCTGCTTTGGTATCTTGGAGCATTTCATACAATAACCCTACAAGAGATGATTACCCCTCATTAATCAATCCAAATACTATATATTATCGCATAAATCTGAAGCCACGATTCACCACTCCTATATCAATTTAAATAAAACTGCAAAATAGCATATATCACATTGCAATTGTAGCAAGCAACAGTACAGAATATTCTCATTTAAATGCATTTCGATCTATTTCCCGGGATCGTTCGAGATGAAAAGACAGGATTTCACTTCTGTTAGCTAGCAATAAATCCAAAAATCTAATTACAGAAATAAATACATAATAACATTTAATAGACACTTCTATATCAGTAAAATCAAATCCCCAAAAGATCTGCTTCTGGACCAGCAAAATTCAAACGTATTTCTCTTAAGCGATGAGAATACATTCGATAATTAACTACGTTTATTCATCAATTTATAATCAGAAGAGGGGGAAATGCTGAAGAAAACAAGGGGGAAAAACAATCAGATTAAAACGCCGTAACCTAATTAAAGGAATTGGGGCTCGAGATGGTAGGGGGCTTACTATCGCGGCTGATTTGACGGAATGTCTTGTACTCTCCGCCGTGAGAGGACGTTTCGGAATCCGAGAATGACATTTTCCGGCGGCCAAGTTCTGATACATAAATTCTTTTGGATCTTCAAAAATCAAAATTTTTTTTTTCTAATACGCAAAATTGTTTCGATCTTCGAAATTCAATGTTTTTTCCTTGTTGTAGAAAAAGAGAGAGAAGAGTGCAATTGTGTGTGATGAGAGAGAGAGATGGCGCGAGTTGGAAATGGCGGTGCGTTTTTTAAGGGAAAAAAAGTAGTTATGTTTGTGGGGAAGCATAATTTGCTCCAACGGTTCACTTTTTGTATTTTGAACTTTCATGTATTTGCCCAATTATGAATTAGTGTAAACTATGTATAGATCTGTATACGTGTATCGTTGTTTATGATTCGAGATCTCTATACCCGATACACGTATAAGCTACGTATAAAAAATCTAAAGTGTACACTATCGTGTTTTATAGAATAACGAATTTCGAATATCAATCCACAGAGATCTATAGAATCTGATGTGCAACAAATCGGGGCAATGAGCAGCGGAACGAGTGACGATGGGCAGTGCCGGAGCCGCCCTTTGGCAAGAGTGGGGCTCCAGCCGATTGTGAACTCCTAATAGTTTCTACTACATATTATAGCTATATATGATCAGCCCACCCACCAAAAAATTATGTTATATTAGTTAAAGTTTATAAATTTATAGTTATTTTGTGCTATTTTATGTGAACGAATAAAAAAAATACAAAGAGGGCGCTGCGCTGAAACCCCCAAAAATATTAAGCCCACTTGTGTTGAATTTCTAAATTTATACATGTACCAAAATATCAAATATTAAATATCAAATTCATATTTAGTAACTCGTTTTAATACTTTTGAATTGGAATTGATCTAACGAGATATTTTCTTCTAGTGAATACTAAAATAAAAATGTATATCTGTTGAGTGTAGATATTACACTGAATACGTTTACTTTACGTGAATCTTTTGTTTAGATTTAATTATATTTGTGCTTTAATTGATTGATTTTTGTGTTTTATAGTTGAAAAACGAGAATTATGTGTCCATGAAGGAAAAAATATCAAAAAGAAAGGAAAAAGTTGCAAATAAGGAAACAAATCAAATTGGAAGAAGGAATCCCGCCACAGCTTTGACAATGTACACCATTTTGAGCATATCTATCTCATACTAACTCCGAATTAGGTGATTTTGACGGCATTGGAAAGCTGATTTCAAGGGCTACAATTCTTATTTACACAACATTCCAAAATTCGGACTCCAACATGGCACAAATCGACGAACAAATCCTGATGGGGGAAAGTGGCGGAAATTGATTCCTATTAGGTTTCCACTACTTCCTTATCAAGAAAAGCCTATAAAAGCAACAAGTCTCTACACCATAAGCACAAAAAATTTACACCACAAAACGCGAAGAACGAAGATCAACGAAGACTCAAGCATAGTTGTCTTATTTATTTTATTTATTCTATTTTGTTTATCATAAGAATTACGAGTAGCTAAGTTTTTATTCTAGGATTTTATTTGATCCCTGTGTGGTAATTCAAACCTATTTTTCTAATATTATGCAAGCTTAATTCCATGATTATTTTTTTTTTTTTTTTTGATCTTATTTAGCGCATGAACCTAGCTAATTTATGTTGCTATGTGTTATTGTTAGAATTGATCGACATATTGTTTTAATAATTAGAACAGGGATAGAAGAGCCTTCGAGTAGTTTTCACCGGATGTGTGTGTCAATTGCATGTGGGGTCGTAGACATACATATATCACCTTAGGTAGCCGTTTACGAGACTTGTTATTTAATGTTTTATTCATAATTGGTTTGCATAGACATATAGTGAATCGTTTATGAATAATAGACTCATAATACACGCGATAGCGGGTTATGAGTAATTTAGTGTCTCGGGTTAATGATCAGGAATCGTAACTTGCATGATAGAGGTTTAATTGTGTATTGATTTATCGCATAGGGGAAGATAAAATCCTTGATCCGTTTTTATATTGATATTCTCTCATTTTTATTTGCTTTCGTAATTAGTTTAATTATTTAGTTGATTAAATTTGACAACTTTGCGTAGGCTGGATAAAAATCATAATTGTTAGAATTTGGTACTTAAGATTAGATAATTTGAGTATTCCCTGTGGGATCGACATAAGTCTACTTTTATTACTTGTTTGCGATACGTGCACCTGCGTGTTAGGTATTTAGCCCCAACAACAAATAAATGTGATCACCAATAATTTAAATTCATAGAATATCTCAATCTGCATACCACATGTGGTGTATTCCATTATCATACGATTGTACATAACAAAATTACAAAAAAACAGAGAAAATAACAACTCAGACATAGGATAAATACAAGAAACTAATTTTGCCAAGAGCAAACAAACAAAGAGGCTTTTAATAAAGTCCAAATTACAGCAACATTTATGCTAAAATTAAATTACGAAAAAACTTCTCATGTTTAAGTAATTACAACTGCACCTCAATTTGACACCATAAAGATGAACATGTAAGACAATACATAATTGAGAGGTGGTTATAATTATTCAAACATAAGATTTTTTTTGTAATTTAACATTACTTTAGAAATGACCGTAATTTACAATTTAATAAATAATAACAATGCTACTTAGAAAAAAAAATAGGGTTTTTAAACTATTTAAATTTGAAAAAATAGCTGCCCTAATCAAGCTAGCTAGAGAAGACCTTTTTCTTTGCAGCATTTAATTGACCCATCAAACATTTCATTCAACCCGTTTCCGTACTTGAACCCGGTTTCCTCAAGTTTTCGGGTAGTAACTCCGGATACTTTGACAGGAATCAAATCCTTCCAAGCTCTGCATGCATGAGTAAAACACATTAATTAATTAGCTTAATTACATAGTTAATTAGCAATTTATAATTTCAATTAAGAAACTCACTCTTCATTAGGCATTTTGTCCTTGTACTCAGGATATCTAGCAGAGATGAACTCAGACAACTCAGCAATAGTAAACTCAACAGCAGACACTACTAGAAAAATAGCTTGTTACTACAAATTTTTTTACTACGCCAAAATACCGTAGCAAATATTAGTTTTTTACTACAGGAATGTTACTGTAGTAAATGATTGTTCCAAAAAAGATATTTATAACTACGGAGAGTTTAGCGTAGCAAAAGGATGAATAAAACGAAGTCGTTTTGTTTGTTGCTACGGAATTTTTGTAGTAAATATTGAGTTTATACTACGGTATTTTACCCGTAGTAAAAGAATTATTTTTTTGTAGTAAAAACTAAAATGAATTAGTAACAAACTAAAATTAAAAGGGTTTCTTCAAAATTGCCCAAATCCCTAAACCATAAAATCGACGGCCCCTTCCCCCATCTCCCTCTCCTTTCTCTCTCACTCTCTCTCTCTTGATCCGCCGTAGCCAATCGGTTGCCCACTTGAGCAGATGTTTTGTTGTCTTCAATTGCCGATGGATGTTCTTCGTTTCCAGACTATCTATTCTTCGTTGCATATGTGTCCGTTCGATTCAAGCATGCCTTGCGGAAGATCGCTCAACATCTTCGAAAAACAAAAATAAGGTAATTTTTACTCATAACTTTGATACATTCTTGTAGTATTGGACATTTTCTTCAGTTTAATGGTATGAATTGATGTTTATATTACTAAATTTACTGATATATATTGTCTTCTTCAAACACCCATTTGTTCTCGTTAGTTTAGATGAAAAAAATTAGGGATCTGTTTCTAGATTTTCTGTTTGGTTTTGGTTTTGGTTTTGGTGTTAATTTGTTGTTCTTCATTTTCTAGTGGACAATTTACACCAATTTACTATTTTATTAGATGCTAAACCTGATAAATTTTGGAATTTCAGTTCAAACAAGAGAAGAAAAGTAAGCCACCATTAGTTTTAAATAGTGGAATACAAAATGCATAAGTTCCGACTAAAGAGTTGATAAATCAGTCGACAAAATAACTACGAAAATTCACTATTGACCTACTGATGTTTGTTTCATGTCTCAAATATTTTATTTGGAAGCGCAATAAGTAGAAAATAGATAGCTATTGTTCAATAGAAAGCAGTTTTACCTTGTTTTTTGTTAGAACATGTATTACATATAAAGAATGTTTGTTTAGGTTCATATATGAGTGAAGTATTCTTTTGTATTTTCACTGAAGAAGCATTCCATACTAATTGAAAATTATGAAAAATGGAAGTATGGTATTTCGATTCCAAATGACCTAAAAGAGCAGAAAGGTGCCCTTGGTCCTTCTCCCTCACACAACTTGAAAGGCTTCTTTGCAAAGATCAAGAACACAATTTAGGTACTTGATTTTGATTTGACATTTTTTGGTTTTTTTCATCTGCTTGACTTCGTCTTGTGACTTTCTCTTGTGATTTAGCTGGAAACCGGAGCTCCGGATTCGGGGTTTTCAAAGTGGTTTGACAGGTTAAGCAAACTAGGTTTGTGATCTTTTTTCGATTTCGTAGGACAACTCCATTTGTGTTTTAATTATTACTTTATCTGCTCTATGTTTATGTGAGAAGAATAGTGCTCTGAATGGATTCTTATTTGTTGAAGCATTTGATAAATTATTTGATTCCTCACTGTTTCAAGGATGAGTTTAATTGTGGGATGAAATGTCGTAAACGTGTTGTATTAGATTACGTGAATCTAATCTAATCTTGTCTATAAAGTTTTAACTTTTGAGATGCTTTAGACTGATATAAATGCTAACTTCATTGCCATTCGTCTCATAGTCTCAGTTCAAACTAGGTTATGACATTTTTCGGGGTATACATATTGTAATCCACTCTGTTTTTTCTACTAAGAAGTGTCGAATACTGTCTCCGTGCATTTCTGTTTGTGTAAGTCTCATTTTCTTTACAAATATACGTCAATTGTAATGATTTCTAAAGTTGGATTTTATAACACGAGTTGGTGTTTAGTTTGATAATGCGAATATATGCGATTACAAGGACCAATAATATAATCCCAATTCTTTTGAATTAACTTTGTGCAGAGAAAGAGGCAGCTGATAGAAGAAAATTAGTGAGCAAATGGCATCCAACAACAAAGAGTACATTTAGGTGACATTACAAAATTCATTCTAAATCAGAAGGTAGGTGTTTGCTTAAAGCCATCGCATCCTGTGGCTACAACATTTCATAAGCTTTTGCACCTGCACCAACAAGGTGGGCACAAGAAGATAGCAGAAGTTGCAAAAGCTTAAAGACGGCCGATAGAGGAAAAAGAAAATATTGGAGCAAATGAATGAATAATTGGTTTATAGCAGTTAATCTTAGTTAGTTTTGGACAAGGGGAACATAATAAGCTTTCTTAAACTTCTAATTTATATTAAGATTCATTGTAAGATGTATATTGTATGATTTGAAGATATAATATTTTTTGTATTTTATGATCATTTAATTAATTATATAAGACTTGTATTGAATATATTTCAGGTGTGTAATTATATATTTTAGGTTTATTGCTAAAAATAACTTTTGTAGTATATAAATTCTAGTATTTGCTACAAATAAAAGTTGTAGTATAAAAAATATATTTTTTACTACGGGAGGTGGTTGTAGTAAAAGGTAGGGTTTGGATGCAACAAAGGACAACCTTTTTGCTACAAAATATGCTGTACCAAATAGTCATGTATTTGTAACAAATCGATGGTCGTAGTAAATGCTAGTTGTGTCGTAGTAAAAAAGTATTTGCTACGATAATTTCTCGTAGTAAATTTTTTGTCACGCCCGTATTTACTACGGAGAAAATTTGTAGCAAATTCGTAGCAAAAAGTCTTTTACTACAAAAAGTGGACCATTCGCTACGAATTTGAGTGGTAGCAAAAAGCCTTTTTTCTACTAGTGAGAACAAATGTATCTCCCTTTTGCCCCTGGATATTCCATTAGATGTATATGTGCTCTTGCCACGTCATCTATGTGAACTAAGCTTGCCTCCTTAAGGTGCTTGTAGTGTCCATCATCACCTAATTAATTAGCAAGTTAATTAATTAATTAAAAAGTAATTAATGTTTATATATAGGGTAAATTACGGCAAGCCCCATGAGGTAAGGTCAAATTACGAAAAAACTGTTCATGTTTGGATAATTACAACCACCCCTCAACTATGAATCTTCTTACACGTCCACCCTTGTACTTGTTTTGTGCAAAAATGTGGTTTCTGATACACCACAGTCTGATATTGACAAGACAATAGACACATCTTATGACCATCTTGTTTCAAAATATGGAGCTCGAACGAGCTAAAACGGGTACAAACTGTAGAATATTCCATGTAATTTAGAACCGCAAGAGTGGACGTGTAAGAAAATTCATAGTTGAGAGAGATGATTGTAATTACCAAAAAATAAAGGGGTTTTTTCGTAATTTGACCTTACCTCAGGGACCGGCTGTAATTTACCCTATATATATATATATTATATTTTGTTCTTGCCCTAAAAGTTAAAACACACACACACCGAAAATCAAGGACATGGCTACGTAGACAGAATAAGGTAAGTGAGAACAAATGAAGGGGCCGGTAGTCCACGTCGGATTAACGGAAACAAGATCCAGTCCAAGTTCAGCAGCAAAGTCAACGGCGGCTCTCTCGGCTAATGTCTTGGTGATGAAGTAGGCCCCACCAAACGCGCGAGAGCTTCGGACAAAGTCAACATCGGTCCACGTGTCCTCGTCTATGTGTCCGGCGGCGGGGTAGCTGAAAGCGGCGGCCGAAATGCTGGAAGTGTACACAACCCGCCGCACGGTTTCCGATCGAGCGCAGATCTGTAGGATGCCTTTTAATCCGGCGACGACCCTTTTGGTTTTGACCTCTTCGGTTTCTCTCTCCTCGAAATCCAGAGGGTGTGCCACGTGGAAGACCCCGACGCAGCCTTCGATGGCGGCGGCGAAGGTTTCCGGCCTGTCGAGATCGGCGCTGAAGATCTGTAACCTCTCCGACGCGCCGGGGAGGTTTGTCAGGAAGCTGACGTCCCTTTTGCCTTCTGTTATGAAAAAGAAATAAAAGTAAATTAAATCAAAACCTATTGTAGTTTTGTCCTCTCTGTTGGCTTATTTAGGAATTTAGTCCTCTAACTTGTCATGTTTTAATTTTCCATGCAATAACTTTGCAAATATAGTATTTTGAGTCTTATGTTGCATGATTTTTTTTTATGACGTGACAAATAAACTTGACAATTCATAAATTCGACATCTAATTTACCATTGGTAGAATTTTATTATGTGAGACGACACATCTAT